TACGATCGCCAACTTTTACTAAGAACTGTCTCTTGATGTACGATTTTCCGAAATTTCGTCTAGTCTATTAAATATAAAGCTTAATATAATAGCTGAGAAATTAACTCAACATTTTTATATTTAAGCGGAGCTCGCTCAAGCGTAAACCTAACCTAGTGACCCTATTAGGCAATATAAGTATAGTTATAGTTATAGTTATAGTTTTAGTTATGGTTTTAGATAGATGTCTAGTTTTTAATATAGAACAGGTGTTATGTACTAGGTTTAATTTGTATGATTCTTTAGATAAATACAAATTGATACCAGTAGTACTACTGAAATGCTTATCCTCTGTAAATATTCTTAAATAAGTAAAATAAATAAAGATAATTAATGCAAATGGTGTCGTGGTGATCACAGCCAAAATTAGGTATATATCGATCGTCAGGAAATCAGCAAAAATCTGCTGCGAATATTTTCACTACGAACCTTACCAGCACACATTAGTTAGGACCATCGATTATTCTCTTTTTAGCCATTATTTGGTACACTATGCTTTGGATTTGATATTTCCACAGGTAATAACATTTTGACTGTTATATAAGTGCAGTTTGACAAACGCAATCATCAAGCTTTTCGGAATATCCGATCCGTTTAAAATTCGGATCGGACATAGTGGATCAGTTTCACTGGATCCAAATGACCTTTGATCGAAGCAAAATTTTAGCGATGTCTTCTGGGACAGTATGCTGTTTATGAACGAAACAGCGATTGTGATGTCAAACAATCTTGTTTTTGCATTTAAAGATATATTTATTGGTATATTTATGCATGGCTACAATAACAGCATTTAATTATCGGTTGGCTAATAAGTAAGATTTCATACCGAAATGTGTTTGTGATTGACAATGGTTTGGTTGATCCACAATGGCTTTGTTTTTATTTACAAGTGCAAAAGGTTGTTTAATGCATGTACACCTAGAACAAATGATGATCAGGCAGTACTTACCAGCTTCTGGAGACGGTCGCTCCTCCATCGAAGAGGTAGAGTAGGTGCACAAATAGCTCCCTGCTAACACCCTAGTCGTCCTTGGTCGTAAGAACAGGCCCATACCGGAACCGTTTATTGTAGAAGGGGCTGGGTACACAAGAGACTCGTTCGCGTACGGAGACGTGATCGTTCGGAACATTTTAACACTTTCATTTGTCGTTTTCTGGATATTTTTTGGCGCTGGAACATGCTGTCGTCTGTCACAAGGCCTGAAAGGATATTCTCTCGTTTCATCCGGCAACTCGAAAAGACCAACTTTTGACCGGTTTGCTTTCATCATGGAGTTGAATACAGAATACTCTTCAAGGAGTAAAAACAACTCTACTTAAGGAGTTAAAATTACTCCAAAACATGGAGTAAAAAAAGAAGTAAAATTTACTCCAAAAAAGGAGTCGTTCTGTACCTTTTTTATTTACTCCACTTTTGGAGTCAATTCGACTCCTTTGGAGACAAAATGACTTCTATATATCGGATTAAAGAAAAGTCTTTAAATAACTTTAGAAATCAATAAAGACATTTTTCGAGTCAAAATAATTTATTATCCCTACAAGTAAGGTATATTATAGGAGGAAATACAATTTGCTGTAGCATAATATAATGATATACTCTTACGCCCTATAATATTTTTGAATGAAGTTCTAAAATGAAATTTTGATTAGAATGATATCATGAATACATGTGGAATACAATTACAAGCCTGTCAGAATGAATTGAACCTGTAGCCCTGCAATTCTACCGCAGCCCTCTGACCTAAAGAGCCCTTTTGCCAAGAGGTAACCACAAGTAGCTGTATGTATACCATGGTGGTGACATTGGTAGTGTATTAAATAAACAGCCCAGGATGACACTAGTATTATATACATGAACTGTTGGTTACAGTAGAGCTTGATTGACTCTCAGGGCGATGGAATCTTAGGGCTTGAGGACCCGTGGCAGTTAAAAAGCTGATCAGAATCACAGGGCAGCAGGTTCCATTCCCAGCACAGTACCGGCTATTACATAGTTATCATTTGAAATTTACATTTACAGAAAAGCTTTAACCCATTAAGTGGCAGCACTCTCTCCTTAGTGAGCAAAAATTGTACGTCTGACCACATTAGACAGAAAAAATAAAAAAGTAAAGGGCGTTGCCACTTAAAGGGTTAATATTCTGTTCAATGTAGAATATTTACAAGTAAAATATACTGCATGTATAATGCATGTAGTGTCACTGCTCAATCAAACATGTCCATTAGTAAAAATTTAGTACAAAACAAGCTGTATACCACAAGTCGGCAACTCCATCCCTTGCATGGTTTGGTAATTCATAAAAATGCTCTCCAGCAAAAGAATAACATTTTCCAAATAGACCATGAAGTTCTTAGAATGCCATTAATGATTACATATAATACCACTTGTTTAGACAACTTGCCTTCTCCTGGGAAGCTTTTGTTAAATCCATATATTAATGACAATCCCTAGTAAGAAAAATATATATAAGGTTATTGATATATAACAGCAGCAAATTATTGATTGATGTTTCTGATGATACTCTGAGTGTGCATCCACACTGGGCAAGCTGAAAAGTTAGCTTGGCCACGGTGGGAATCGAACCTGCGACCTTTGGGATACTACAGTAGTCCAATGCTCTGTCAACTGAGCTACATGGTCAAGTCTGTTCGAGTTGATGATATTTCAGAACTGAGTCTAGTTCCTTCGATATCAGTATACAGGGGTATTCAATGATACGATTATTTTGTGTGTGTTGGTGTCATGTACTCAGGTGAATATATGATGTTTGTGATGTTACTCTCACTGAGTGTGCATCCACACTGGGCAAGCTGAAAAGTTAGCTTGGTCACGGTCGCAGGTTTCATTCCCACTGTGGCCAAGCTAACTTTTCAGCTTGCCCGGTGTGGATACACACTCAGAGTAACATCACAAACATCATATATTCACCTGAGTACATAACAGCAACACACACAAAATAAAAATTATTGATTGATTGATTGACAATGAATTTGCTATTTTTGGTTGTTTGCATATGCAAAGCAAGAAATACAAAATTCAAATGCTTTTACTCATTTAATGTAAGCATGCAATTGATCTAACATCATCCAAATGAATACAATGTTTCTTGCAAAGGGTGTTTAAAATAGAGGTGCATGCATAATTGACCCAAAATCAATTGTCCCAAAATCTTGCTAATGCCAAGCTGGGACTTTCCATATAAATTATATATAATCACCCACGATTTGGCACAGTATTACCCCTGGGCCCTTCGGTTTATACATTTCGAGACTGTCTCCAAAGGTATGAGTGATTGATCACTTGTTGGTTTACTTTATTGGGAAATGTGCTTCTACTATATAACTCAGTCTGAGTGATTTGTTTTGGCAAGCCTGTCCATCTAAAGAGGCTCATGTAACCAGACATTTATCCAGGGAAAGCGAGCTATAGCAAGGTTACCTAGGTGGCTCGCCTCTATATAAGCAGCCCCTTACACATGTTTTAGGCTGACTGATAGCCGATAGGAGGGCTACCATAGCAAGCACATGCCATACACTGGGTAATATTAGATGGGCTATTGATTGCAATGCTGTAAAATGTGACTGCATTTCAACTATGATTTCAAACAGATCACATATATAAAAGTATACATGTCAACTTAGCAAATATTTAACACGAAATACAACATACATCATACATGTATATCACACAAATAAAGCCCCGCTTACACGAGCAAATTTTATTTGACAAATTTCATATGTCAAAGATATTTTGCTCGTGTAGATGATAAATTTGTGACAAATTTATTGTGACAAATGCATTTGAACAAAAGCTAGCATGCTAGCTAGCTTTTGATCAAATGCTTTTGATGAAATGAAATTTGTCAAATAAAATTTGCTCGTGTAAACGGGGCTATTAAACAACAGATATAAGTAGAGACTGTAGATTAGACTTATGGACTTCTGCTAATACAAATTAATCGAAAATTAAAACTGGACGTCTAGATCGGCAAATTGGCGGCGAAGCGACTAAAATACAGGCCTTCGATTTAAAAATATAACTATACAGTATATCAAGTAACTTTCCGCACACAAATAAGTAAATACACAATAAACATACCTTTGAAAACAAATTCCATGTATCTTATTAGGTCTTTGGAACTTTATAAGTAGAAAATTTGAATAAATATCTTCCTATTTGAATGTTTGCTCCCAAAGGATTGAACTTGGCGCTTGGTCTTTGTGTGAACCAGATCGAATTACTACAACACGTGATATATTCTAAGCATGCTAATTGGTTGAAAATCTGGAACTTCCACTTGTCGCAAATTATATTCAGCAGAATTCAGCAAGCAGAACATTCCACAAGTTCAAATTACAGATTTAGGCAGCAAATAAAAAATATAGATGACTCGCTGACAATTTCTGGCTACATTCGATCGCCGCGTGCGATTGAACTCATCGAAGGCGATACGCGGTATAATACATCAATGGCATCAATCTGATTTCGCAACATTCGAGTAAACCAAAAACGTAAAATTAAAAAAAAAAAGACTTTATATCTCGAACTTCGTGCTTTTTGCGTCTGACTGTATTCAATACTTTAATAAAGTATAGCCTCCAGCAGAAAAACTCTTGGATTCTCAGGCACATTAATTATATATTGTAATAATTTACCCCAGATCCAGAACAATTTTACTCTTTTTTGGGAGTTGAAACGACCCCTGGAGTAAAATTAAGGAGTACAAATTACTCCATAATTTCTACTCCTAAAATCGAGTTTAGTTTACTCCTCCAGTGGAGTTAAATTGACTCCTGATGGAGTAAATTGTGGAATGCGCGCCGGAGTGGAGTAGTTTTAACTCTATTTTGGGAGTAGATTTTACTCCACAATTTTTACTCTCCCGAGTTGAGTAGTTTTAACTCCTATGGTGGAGTTAAAATAACTCCTTGAAATTAACAGTGCGGTGTTACCATCCAACATGGCAATATTTTCACTTGCCACCTCAACAAGCTCATTCTGCAGAGTTGCCTTGGAATTAACTTGCGCCGTTGGTGATGTCTGTGATAAAGGTGCTTGTGTCGCTGTTGGTAATAGTTGCTCTGGTGAAGATGGTTGTGGTGTTGATGGCTGTGGTGGCACTGGTGTTAATGGTTTTAGATGCGTTGATACTTGCATTGGTAATTATGGTACTGGGATTGATGGCTGTTGTGGAAGTTTTGGATGTGCTTGTGACGGTGAAGTTAGGTGTGAAGATGCTGATGGTTGTGCTGGTGCTGATGGTGATTGTTGTGGGGTAGATGGCCGATGTGGAACCAACGGTTTTGGTTGAGGAGGTGGATAGGTGGCTATTCCTGAAACACATTTTTTTTTGGTAAGCCTCCGCGTTAGACTTCAACCGCTTGCCACTGTTGGTTGTATTTGCTACATAAGCGAAACATTGGAAATGCGTTCAGTATAAACCATGGTATTATATAAAAACAGTTTGATCTATGACGTTAAAAAGTTTATAAAATTAAATTTTTTTGACGGTAAACTGTCCGTCTTCCTCAAATATGCTAAAAAATAGAACGAGGCGTACTGAATTATGATAAAATGAGTGTTTCTGGAGTCGTGGTAATAAACATTGGACAAAAGTGCGATTATATAACATGTCGGTTTTTTAGGCCAAAATAATCAGTTTGTCGGAGAGCATCCAATGTCCCATTCCCCTCCAGCCATGCAAGAGCAATTGTCTGTGATGAAATCAACACGATTTTGATGAGTTGACCAAATACGAAGGCCGACGATAATGGCACTAAAACAGCCATTGCATTGTTTACATAGTGAAAATAAAAACCATTATCCATCTTGGTCAAACATGTTATTAAACGCATTCCCTTTTTTATAAGTATTGTCAGGCTGCTGAATGTGAATGTGAATGCTACTGTGACCTTGACTTGTGGCACTACTTGTGGCCGGTGCCGCTACTTTTCAAATGGATGCCTTCGTTCAACATTTACAAACTTAATTCTCTATATGCTGAGATAGGAAGAACATCCCTAATTATACAAATAATCCTAATTATAGCATCTAAGTTGTCGTCAAAATCTATTTCTGAGTTTTTTTGCCTGACTTTAGCCTGTGTACAGCCGTTACTCCGGACGAAACGCGCGAGAGAACGTCTGTGAATTGGATGCATAATCCTTGTTCACGTAACGTGGATAGTTCCCAGATTTGGGGACAGGCCTTTGATTGGACAGTGCTTTATTTGAATAATTATGACAAATAAAGCTATTTCATTGGCTAATTGATAATTATTGATGATAGTTTAAAATAACAACACAAAAATTTTTAAATTTCCAGATCAAGAATCAAGATTTCCTTCGGGGCATACAAAGGTTTGAAAGACTAGAAATATAATCTATTGAGTTTAATGTTGTGCTGTATCGAGTTTTTGGAAATCAAGAAAAAATTTTAGTGTTTGGACACTCAACGAACAATGCTGATAAATATATAAAATACAATAAACTATCGGACGGAAATTGACAATTTATAACTGACAATTTTATAATAATTTGACAATCTGTTTATATGTCCCGACCCCTCGCGATAAAGCATTTTCTTTACATCTAATGTGTTTAACTTCGTCTTATGCATGAGTCAATTCCAGGAGTAACCTTCCCCCCCCCCGGAAACACACCCGGACATTTGACTTGATTGGTTATGTTAGTGTAAATGCCCCGGTGCCTGGACACAACTTGAAGACCAATGCACGGCCCTTGGGCAAGCTGAGAGTGGAAAATGCCCCACACCGGGGACGATTTTACAGTCGATTTCACGAAACTTTGACCACAAATGTTCGGAACTTCGTTGCGAAGTTCGCAAGTTCGTTGCGAAGTTCGGAAGCTCATATATTGGAATTCACAAGCCAATTTGTAAACAAAGTCCCTGATTGGTCCGTGAAGTAAAAGAAGCCAATCAAATGCGTGGCTTACGAACTGGTTTGTGAATCTCATTATGAACTTTTGAACTTCGCAACAATCTTGTGAATTTCGCACGTATTTAAAGTTCGGAAAATTTGTGGTCAAAGTTTCGTGAAATCGACTGTAAACGTTAATTAAAATTTTAATGGCATATAATCATAGTCATTTAATAGCCAGTTATAGTATTAAACTGCTATGGAATATTATAAAACGTAAACCTTTACAGGTAAACTACGTGAAGCGTTCCTCTTTTAAGTTCCTAACTTGATTGCAATTTTCCTCACTACCTTAGCAAATTTGAAAAACTGCCTTGCAAATCCCTTGAGAGAATTTGCAATGTTCTTAAGAGGCAAATAAATTTTTCTCAGTTCCTGTTAGAAGTTCTTAACTTCCTGTTACAAGTTCCAAAAACAGGAAGTTAGGAAAATTTGAAAATTGAAAGGAACTTTCTTTGCGTTGGAATATTGCAACGGCCGACAGGAAAATTGCAAATTCCCTCAAGGATTTGCAAAGAGTTTTTCAAATTTGCAAAGCTGATCATGAAAATTCCAAACGAGTTAGGAACTCAAAAGAGGAACGCTTCACGTAGTTTACCTGTAATAGTTGTATTTAAATTTGCATGGCACAGGGTATAATTTTCGCTTATTCTTACAATAAATTTCACGCCACCTTGACCACGAGGGCGCAAAATACGATCAGCGCGCTCACATGCATGCCTGAAACTAGGTTTTGCTGCCTTAAAATTTGTGGGTGGGATTCTGGGCAACCATTTGTCAAATCCCCGGGGTCCTCCAATACCCGGCCCCCGTGCACATACATGAAAGGCAAATTCCCGACCCCCGTGAACTGTCTATTGGGCAAATTCCCGGGGGTGCCCCGGGGGCGATGGTTACTCCAGGAATTGACTCATGCATTACTTAAAATGCACCTTTTGAATAACCAGTTGTTTTTATATTTAATACTTTGTCTTTGTAAACAAATATACGCCATATATTTGAATTTGAATTTATTTGAATATATGTACGCCAAGCTCAGTAGCTTGTATATACACCGGACTTGCTGGCAATGATCATCGTTCAGCGTTGTCCGCACTCAAAACAAATCTCTTCATCGAGAAATATTTCTGGTGTATCATTTTCAGATTGTATTTCTAGACTTTCAAACCTTTATATGCCCCGAAGGAAATCTTGATTCTTGATCTGGAATATTAAAATTTTTGTGGTGTTATTTTAAACGCATGCTAATTATCAATAAACCTTTCACCTTATGAGTGAAATTTTGATCTAGATATGCCAAACAAAAATTTCATCACAGCTTGAAAGAGCATCACAAAATTAGCAATGTTCCGAAGTTTCGTTGCGCAATGTTGTAAAATGCGGACGATATAGCCTTGCAAAGTTTGCCGTTTTTCAGCCATTTTGCATTACAAACGGGAAATTGATAATCAGATGATCAAACTGATTATCAATTTCCCATTTGTAATACAAAATGACTGAAAAACGGCAAACTTTGCAAGGCCATATTATCCGCATTTTACAACATTTTGCAACGAAACTTCGGAATATTACTAATTTTGTGATGCTCTTTCAAGCTGTGATGAAATTGTTGTCCACACTTGTCTAGATCAAAATTTCACTCAAAAGGGGAAAGGCCTATTAACCAATGAAATAGTTTCATTTGTCATAAATTATTCAAATAAAGCACTGTCCAATCAGAGGTCGGTCCCCAAATCTGGAAACTATCCACGTGACCTGAACAAGAATTATGCATCCAACTCACATACGTTCTCTCGCGCGTTTCGTCGAGAGTAACGGCTGTACACAGGCTACCTGACTTGAGGTCAAAAAGCGCAAATCGGAATAATCAGGAATTTCCATTAGCTCTTGCCACGTCATTCTCAATGTGATTGTGGCAGCCACAGGTGTCTACGTATTCTTTGCAGTGATAATTTAAATGTTTGCGTATATTTCAATAACACTACTAACCTTGTCGTATTTGCACGCCTGCCGCTAGGTAGAGTGACATCTCGTGCGTAGGGAGATTCCTATTTAAAATAATGAATGATTTGCGACTATATTACTTTTGACTAGAATGGCAAGCGCCGCAGACGAGAGTGATATCCTCTGACCTAGTGCTGATACCTAGCCTGCAAAAAACAGCAACCTGATTGTCCCGTTTCTCGGACCATCGCACTTTCGCAGGATAAATAGAGGATATTACACGGCGGCGCGAAGATACGACTTTTATCATCGAGCTGTGAAAACAATATTTTACAAACGAGCGTAGCGAGTGAGTATATAAAATACTGTTTTTAACACGAGAAGATAAAAGTCATATCTTCAAGCCACCGTGCAATGTTTTGTTTATTATATAGTTCCAAGCAAAAAATTGTATAGATATTAAAGGCACGTGATAGATATCTTCACTCGTGAAGCTATGGAAAATATGTCACTGTGTAATTTTCAGTATCTCACTCTCTACTATATAATAATTTATACCACGCACGTAATTGGAAAAAACGTGGTCCGATTTAAGATCAGTTTCGCGCGTATGTACATACATAAATGATTTATGCAATATCAAAATAAGGAACGGATCAAACTTAAAATACAAATACAATAGTACAAGTATAAAATAGAATAGCTGGATTAAATATCTATCCAGGTTGTTGGACAGCGGAGTAAATCACTGTCTCAAAATTCGAAAACTGTGTATCTTTTATCAGAGCTGAGCAATTTTTGCCTTGGTACGTGTTTTTAGGGTTAGCGTAAGTTATCCTCTTGGCGGCCAATTAACTCAAATCTAGTTTACTAAAAAAGTTTGGCCGTTTGATAAAGGAAAACCACATAAAAGTAATATTAACTAGAGGGCACTCAGAGACTGCATACCTCCGCCCGTTACTCGGAAGTGAAACGGAACCTTGGAATTTCCTAAGAAATCTACTTTATAATTCTTAAGCAATCAAAGACTTCAGGCCCCCGCGTATTGAAATCGAATTGCTAATAGATCATATTACTGTTGTTGTACTGTACAGTACTTGTAAAATAAAAACTTATTAAGTGTCATTAAATAAATGCATAAATTTTGCTTTATGCACTCGCGCGTGCAGTAATTTTCACAGTTGTGCTATTTTAAATTCCCAGGCAGCTAAAATCTTTTGTCTTTAAAACAATGTCGATTTCTTGGGAAATTCCGAGGTTGCGTTTTTTTTATACACCCTGTATTGAAGTAATCTAATGTTATTAGAATTTGAATGGACTGGCACTTTGCTGAACGTAATAATGCGTAACTCCGTAAGCCTTGTTTTAGACATTGAATTTCGGTCGCGTGAAATGCAACTAAGACAATAGATAATGAAGGCCGAAGCTTAATGAGGTTTATCATCTCATTATTGTCTTAGTACTGCGTGCATAAATTATACACGTCCTAATTACGCATTCAGTAATATTTTTTTAATTGACCGGGAAAAGCAAGACAAAATTTTGTTCATTTCTCGTTCAATTTTTAACCAAATTCAACCAAATTTTAATCAGTTCTTCCTTAGCCGATGGGAAATGCATTCAAAAAATTTCGTACGGATATGTTTGGTATTTCTTGAGTTATCGTGCTCACAGACAAACACACACACATACACACACACACACACACACACACACACACACACACACACACACACACACATACACACACACACACACACACATACAAATCCAGATGATTACATAACCTCCTGGCGGAGGTAATAAAAATAAATAGTAATAAAAATAAATGTCATGAAATTGTACTTCTGCATCATCACACGTCGCTTGGTGGAAGCGCGCGGTTTAAATATAGGGAAACTGGGGAGACTTTTCATTTTTTGTGGTTTTACCTTTATCAAACACTTAACTGTTGGGCTACCTATGACCAACCCCAGTGATTTTAATTTGTACATGCGTATAAATACATCACTATATATGGGATTCATATCAAAATACGTCACTGGTGACATCTTTTACTAGACTGGGAGCCGTCTTTCCCGCAGAAGGAAAGGGACTACTGCAGACAACATATCATGAAACGAAATACACGTTGTCCACACAACGCAAAAATTCGGATTGGTTGGTACTAATTGACTGACAGATCTTTCTTGAATTTTGAAAAGGTTAATTAACTTAAAGAGTCCTGGTCAACCACAATGTAATGCGTGCGTTTCTGTTACGTTGTCGGCCAGAGGCAGCCATTTTGTGTGGCCACAAAAATGGCGGCAACAATTGATAAAAGTAAAAGAAAAACGTAAACAAAAGCGCGCATGGTGTAGTTGACCAGGACTCTTTAAAAGTAAAAATGCATAAAAGTTTACGCATAAATACATTATAGTACTACATTTAGATGTATTCGCTCGAAATAAAACACTAAATTCTTTCAGACAGTAGTCAGTGCAGATAAAAATACTACAACCGCCTATACGATTTAATTAATAATTTGACTGTTGACTTTTAAATTTGAAAAACAATACATTTAAAACAACACAACACGCGCTATAACTATAAAAAATAGTAGTAAAAATACATAATAGTATTAAAAGTACTAGTAAAAATACTTGAAACTTCTATCAGTTCTTTCAAGAGACTAATCGATGGCTTGTGTTTTTGAATTGGACGGTCATCCTGCCTAACCATACGTTTATGTAAATAGACTGTGTTATGCATGATTAGTATAAATTTTGCATATCAAATGAGCTTTCGCGCATTCTGATTGGCTATATAGTTGACTAGTAAATCTGAGGCATTATTTACCACCTGATATAGTAAATAATGCTTTTCAAAAAGAATGACTGGGCAAATTTGGTTTCAAAATCGGCGAAATATTGAAAAAATCGTCCCCAGAAAACAAAAGAAGCACAAAATGTTGTATTTAACTTGAAAGGTAGGATTCCTTTATTATTAATTTACCGTGTCAAACATATTCACGGACAATGTAAAACTTATTTAAACTGACGGATTTTTTGTTTTCGAACAAATAGCAAAAAGTATCCCCACTGTTCAATGGGAAAACCTTGCCGTGATATTCTTTTAAATCCATTTTGTTTTGTATCCTATGGCTATAGATTTCTCAATTTATACGATACTATTTCTTTTGATACGTCATGTTTTCATTGTTCTCTACGGCGTTCTGACCCGCTGTATTGTGTTTTCGAAACCTGTAAAGTGAAAAGTGTTATTAAATTAACTTTATTTCGAACGATATTGTTTTACATTTCATTTTACCAAATTTCTCAGCCATTTCCTGAAAAAAGTTATTGCTAAACCGAAACTATTTTTTAATTCTAAGTCTGGTGAAAAAGTCATTCCGTTTATAATGTGTTTATATTCTAAGCAGAAATCGAGAAAAACAACTTTGTAATAAAGCAATAAAGTCACACAAGAAGCTATTTTAAAAGCATGTGCGTACAAGAAACACTGCAACACTGTTAGTGTCAGTAACCGTAAACAGGCCGAAAACAGTTTTATTTCTGAATTTTAATTGAACTGATATTTGAATATTTTATTTTATTCATTAAATATTTATACTAGAAAATACATGCATGCAGAAACCCTCGCCTTGCTGACAAACCATTGTATTTTCCGAACATGAAGTATCCAAAGTAGTTGTCATGGTAACACGATAATTTTTTAAGATTATTCTTACAAATGAAAAATCGCCTAAAAATATCACTTTTAATTACAAAATTATCAATTTCCCTACATATATATGTTAGGTATGTTATTATACGTAATATAAGCTTCAATTTAAGGTAAAATTCAACCACAAAGACTTCGCAAAACGTTTTAAGAGGGAATCTCCACTATGACCGAGCAACAGGTGAAAAAGGCACATGCATGATGAAAAATGAAATGTTTTCTTATTTTGTCCAGTGACACACTAATGTATACTTAGAAACGTGATGGGGTTTGTTTTCTGAAATATTATTTTAAACCCCGAAAAATTATCAAAACTTGACACGTACCCAAAATTCGTGAAATTAGCCAAAAACATTGTGAGTCATAGCCTCTCGAAAACGTCCACTGGAAAAATTAACTTCCTTCCATACTATGTAAATAGTATGCAATTTGTCTGTAAATAGACTGTAAATCTCATTTACACACTAAATGTACATTGACAGACTATGTAAATTTAAAACTAATTTGTAAATTGTCTGTAAATTATTGGTAAAACATAGGGATTGAATTATTTCCGAATAGTTTGTAAATCACTACAACCATTTGTAAACAGTTTGTAAATTATCAGCAAGTGTTTGCAAATAGTTTGTAAATTAAATTGTAAATAGTATTTAAACTATTAGTAACTATTTGTAAATAGTTTGTAAATTAAATTGTAAATAGTTTGTAAACTATTTGTGACAATTTGTAAATAGTTTGTAAATTAAATTGTAAATAGTTTGTAAACTATTTGTGACAATTTGTAAATAGTTTGTAAATTAAATTGTAAATAGTTTGTAAATTATTAGCCACTAGTTGTAAATAGTTTGTAAATTAAATTGTAAATAGTTGGTAAACTATTAGTGACAATTTGTAAATAGTTTGTATATTAAATTGTAAATAATTTGTAAATTATTAGCCACTAGTTGTAAATAGTCTGTAAATTAAATTGTAAATAGTTTGGAAATTATTAGTAACTATTTGTAAATAGTTTGTAAATTAAAATGCATGTAGTTTGTAAATTGTTAGTAACTATTTGTAAATAGTTTGTAAACGACATTGTAAATAGTTTGTAAATTGTTAGCAACTAGTTGTGAATAGTTTGTAAATTATGTATACTAAATTAATCACTTGAGCAACCATTTTTTATCTAAACATATTTATTTTCCAAAATCTCTTATATAAATTTTTACTCTAAAACAATGAGGTGAATTAGAAAGTACAAATTTAAACTATAATTATTTCCAGGGACCGTTCATTATTAATACAGGGGGGGGGGTATAAATGTGTGGGGAGCGTAGACATTTCTGAGCAAATATTTTAGGGGAGATGTAAGAATTTTTTAATGATAGAGGGGGGCTTGCATACATTTTTCTCAATTATAGCACAGCTAGGTTGGTCCGAAGATGGACAGGGTTCCTCGACCAGAACAAGACAGTCTTCCCTGTTGCCACTACAAACCAGTGTTTGATAGCTCTAACAAGCAGCGCAGTGGAGAAACAAGATACCCGGATGATTTCCAGCCAAGAAAAAACTTGAAAGTGGAGTTTGCTAATGATCGTATATCTGAAACCGACCAGGAATGCGTTACAATAAATTCATTGTAAAGGAAAACTTGGTGCATGAATACCTGGAGCACTTGCAGAATATGCAAAGGATAAAGGGAAAAAAGAGACCAAGAGGCAAACGGAAAAAGACAGAACAAGACAGAAGACATACGATGACTATGAATGGAGGAAACAAGTAGAACCTAAAGAAATCGGTAAGCTACTATACGTGGCGGAACTTCATAAGTATCTCAATTATCACAAGTTAAACAGGAAAGGAAAGAAGCCGGATAAGGTATTCAAAACCATAGCGTTAAATAAGTAACATAACAGTTTATAGTATCAATACTGTCCATTGCAACTCGATGCAATTTAGCCACTTCCTCTTTGTGTAAGTTATTATGATTTATGTATGAAGAGGAACAGGAGTATTTAGAGCGTGGAAATACCATGTACTGTGGACAGTAATGACGACGAGAGTGAATTAGAGAAACTGGATACTGTGGAGAGTGTGCGTGAAACTGAAATGTCTGATAACATATTGAAGAAATCTCTTCCAATGATTTTGACAACTTATTCTTTTCATATACAGTATGACCAATACATGCCAAAAAATATTCAATTCATATCTTATATTCAATTCATATATTATATTCATCAGCCTTTTTTTATATGGAAAACGTATAAAATATTAATTTGTGGTAAAGACAACAAAGAGGGGGGATGTAAATTTTTCAAACTGTAGTCTAGGCAAATAAGAAAATGAAAACATGACCGGCCAAACATCCATATTGACCGGCAAATAATGCACATGTCATGATGACGAGTCGGAGTGTACCGTCCAGATTTATTTCGAGGCCTGGGCAAAGGGGATGTATACTTTACTATTGCTTTTACCAAATCCGTAACAGCCCCCCCCCCTTCCTGTATTAATAATGAAAGGTCCCTTTAAACCTATCGTCTATATTACATATTTTGATTCAATTGAATCATTTCAACATAGTTTATATCAGTCACAATCCAAATTAAAGTTCACGTTACCTGTTAGTCTTGACAACATAAGTTTCCACTATTCACAGCATACTACTAAGCTTAATTTATCATTTAATTAAATGTTTAATTATACTATCCATACTGTAATATATGTAGTCAAGCAGATAGAGGATCAAAATTATAGAAAACTCACCATATCGAGGGGCAATTCCATTTTGCGTTCATATTGTGCCCTGATGGCTAGTAAGTACGTTTCTGAATGTTGGCCGCGTTAAAATTTCTTGTGGGCTCCTGCCGACACGTTTTTCTTCGAATGTTGTATTAAACTCAGAAAAAGTCAAAATTATTTTTCTTGTAAAATATACTTTAATTGTTATTATCTGTAAACTTTGTTCAATTAGCTCATTATATTACTTTTACTTTAAAATTTTCCTTACTTTATATTTGTATTTGTAAATATTCCTATATTCTTCCGACATTATATGATTAACTTACCATATAAAACAATTGTAGAAATATTATAGAACTAGGGACCTTTGAACAAAAAGCCTGAAAGGGTTTCATGAAGGCTCCTAGGCCGTCATATTTTATTGTATACTTTAGATTGTAAATATTAACTTTTTCATATGGGCAAATAAAATTCAATTCAAAATTCAACTCTATTACAGTTAAAAAATGTGAAATTTCAAATACATTTCTAACACAAATGACTTACATCAGTAGAAAGCTAACAAAAAACTACATATAAGACATTTAAATGGATAGTTGGGATTTTCAAGCGGTTTTCGAGTTATTGCCGATTCAAACGTGAAAAATAAGCCACAATCTCGCAAAATTGCTGGGTACTAGTCTGAAAATACGCTTTTAACAGCTCATAACTCAAAAAGAACTTGAAAAACCCGGGTAACCGTTTGAATGTGTTATATGTAGTTTTTTGCGACCTTTCCAATTATGTAAGTCATTTGTGTTAGAAATGTATTTGAAATTTTACATTTTTTAACTGTAATAGAGTTTTTTATTTTTTTTTTAAATATTTTTCGCCCAAAATATTACATTTACAAGGAATAGATATATATATAATAAATGGGCTAGGAGCCTACTAGAAACCACATGGCTTTTTTTAGGCCCCTAGGTTAATTATTTAAGCTATATCAATAAATATAAGCTCGTGTCAGTTCGAGTGTTTTTCAGAGAATTAGTAAGGAAAAGAAGAATTATATAATACATATGAATATATATAATTATATTTACAAAAATATGTTATATTGTTAAATCTAGTTGTAAAAAGTACTTTTTAATTATTGATTTGAAGGAAGCATAAGACCTAGGTTCTTTATTTTTTTGTGGGAAGATTATTCCACACATCTATGCCTTTATTTGCAAGGGTATGTTTGGTATAGTTTGTTCTATTACTCCTTTTGTGTAGCAACGAAGAATTTCTTGTGTTATGATTATGAATTTGCTTATTTGTCAAAAAATAGTTTATGAATAATTCTGGTAGATTCTGTAGATGAAAATACCGGAACATGAATATACTCGTTAAATAATAATTTATTTTATGTAAATTGAGTATTTGTAAGGAATTAAAAATTGGTTCTGAATGATCAAAATAAGATTTGAAAGTCATTAATCTGACAATCTTTTTTTGAACATTCACTAACTTTTGAAAACGTGATTTATAGGTGTTACCCCAGAGTAAATTACCATAAGTTAAATATGGATAGACCAAAGCATAATATATTAGCTTTAAGGAATTTAGGTTTGTGAAATGTCGAATCCTGGAAATAATTGCCGCACATTTGTAATTTTTTTCGTAATCAAATCCAAGTGATTACTCCATGTCAGAAATTGGTCAAGAACAACTCCGAAAAATGTGATGTTTTTGACTTGTCTTATATTGTTATTATTGATTGAAATGTTTATTGAACCATTAAGTTTCTTATTTTTTGATCTAAAAAGAATAAATTTTGTTTTTTCAGTGTTTATAGACAGCTTATTGGCATTCAACCAATCTGTAATTTCATTCATTTCACTCGTCATACTTTAAGACAAGTATGACTGTAAAGAATGTTTGTATCATCAGCAAATAAAACAATGGAAATCAGTTCACTGCAGTATTGAATATCATTTATGTATAAAATAAACAATAAAGGACCCAACACTGATCCCTGTGGGATACCGCTTAAAATAGTCATTTCCTCTGATTGCACTCCATTATATTTGACTATTTGTTTTCTATTGTGTAAGTAATTTTCAAACCATTCTTTGGCCACTCTCCTGATACCATAATGTTCCAATTTCTTTATCAGAATCTTGTGATCAATTGTATCAAATGCCTTTGACAAATCAAGAAAAATACCAATTGAGTATTTTCCTTCGTCAATTGCTTTTGTAATTTTATCGGTAAAGTCAATTAATGCATGTTCTGTCGATCTATTTTTCCTAAACCCATATTGATGTTTTGATAATATTTTGTTTTTATCAATAAATTTTGATAGTCGATTAGTCATAAGTCTTTGCAGCAATTTAGAAAAACAAACAAGAACTGATATTGGTCGGTAATTTTCAAATTTCGTTACATCATTAGCCTTAAAAATTGGTGTAATCAATGCAACTTTGAGATTATCTGGGATAATTCCAGTTGAGAATGATAGGTTGAATATATGTGTTAATGGTTTAGATATTTCTTTAGCTATTAATTTTGCAATGTTTGAACTAATTCCATCATATCCACAACTTTTGTTTGACTTTATATTTATCAGTTCTATTTCAAGCTCATTTTCTGTGATAGGATTAAGAAAGAAACTGGATTGATAACTACCTTTGAGATATTTTTCAAAATTATTATTGTCATTGTGCTTAATGTTATTGGCCAAATTAGGTCCAACATTAATAAAGTATTCATTGAAATTGTTAGCTATTGTTTTCGGGTCATCTATTATATTATATTAGTTTAATACAACATTCGAAGAAAAACGTGTCGGCAGGAGCCCACAAGAAATTTTAACGCGGCCAACATTCAGAAACGTATTTACTAGCCATCAGAGCACAGTATGAAGGCAAATGGAATTGACCCTCGATATGGTGAGTTTTTTTCCTTCCATCTGCCTGACTATAAAACAGTTTCTCCCGATTAATGGAGTAAAAATTACACCAAACACTCTTACACATCTAACGTGGGTAAAATTTACCCCATTTTGGAGTAAATTCTACTCCTTAGAATTTACAGTGTAGATCGTATATTTTCCTATACAAGTCTTCATATTTGACTAAGGTTGAGATAAATCTGATACTCTTTTAGTTCCACTATTCACGATGGGATGTGTATGAGATCTTTATACATACATACTGATTGCAGTATATGCATGTTCTTTTCCCTTAAACCTATCGCGCTAAATCTGAGGAAATCGAACATTCAATTGACTTGCTCACCAATGAGTCCGGGTCATCTTTACTTTACCATTATGACCCTGGTGTCGTAGCAGTTAATAAATACAAAGTGATGGATCTGGTCCAGGCAGTTTGCAGAACGCTTCGCACGATAATCAACCTGACCAGGCCAATTCTTTCGGTCTGGTCGTCGTGAGCGAAACGGACATCGAGTTCAACTTTACAATATGTATGTGCTTGTGCGTTATTTTGGTGTGATATTTTTCAATATGGATGATGTCCTTACGATACTATGAGTGCGAACAATGTTGTGGTGGTGATCCTTCTCACATGTATCAATTACATATGTGTATGTCGGGTTACGAGATTAATCCGATTATTATAATGTTGTCTTTGTTTATTGTTTTGGTACTTTTCGACTTGTTTTGCCATCCAATCATCTCATGGAGAGTGACAGTCCTGAAACCGAAGTTCCTTCATACATACTTCCCCCGGTTGATTTACTAGGTCAGGACGGTCGCCCCTCTACTGACTGTGTTTTGGTTGTTCTCCTCGTCTATGCTCACGTTAACAATTTACCATGGGAGTAGGCTTTCGAGTTTGATGTTCTACAGGCTGTGGAAGCAGTTC